CTTCAACACACTGACTAATTTCTGCAGAACCTGGAAGCTCAACATATTCATGCATACCATCCAAACCGTTATCCATATCCCCATCAGTAAATTCATTACCATCGTTCTCTGTCACCTCCTCAATAATCGGGTCCCGATGTTCTTCTCTTTCTGCGACTGCTCTATAAATAGTAACCGCATTACAGACATCATCATCAGCTCTACCATTTGCAACCCGCTCCTCATAATTCACACCAAATGAACTACCCACTTTAGAAGCTTGCTCAATCCTACCCGCTTTAGAAACTGAATTTGTTTCTAAACGTTTGACTACCTCCACATGCAAAACATACCTTAGCCCCTCGTTATCCACCGTTGTTAGATAAGCATATACGTCATCATCAACGAAAATCTTTGTCTTGTTGGTCGGTTTATTTACCAACGGAATGTAAATCAATTTCAGCTGTGCATTAGCTCTATTTATCCCAATCTTACTGCAGATCTTATCTACTAACACCGAGTAAGTTATTTCCTCCACTGATAAGTTCCTAAATGGTATATCATAGGTGGAATTACTAGTAAACCATTTCAACTCCCCTCCGTCACGTGAATAACTCCCTCCTTAGTCAAAATATATGTTTGTGTGGTTGATGTTCATGCTCTCCTGAAAATATAATGAAAATAATCGATCAGTTGAACTCAATTGAACTAAATTGAACACAAAGTACCACAATTATATCAGTTGAACTCAATTGAACTAAATTGATCTCAGTTGTACCAGTTGAACTACAACTCTCATTTGTACCACTTGTACCAGTTGAACCCAATTGAACTAAATTGAACTCAGTTGTACCAGTTGAACTACACCTCTCATTTGTATCAGTTATACTAGTTGAACTAAAGTGAACTCAGTTGTACCAGTTGAACTACACCTCTCATTTGTACTAGTTGAACTCAGTTGAACTAAATTGAACTCAGTTGTACCAGTTGAATTATACCTCTCATTTGTACCACTTGTATCAGTTGAACCCAATTGAACTAAATTGAACTCAGTTGTACCAGATGAACTATACCTCTCATTTGTACCAGTTGTACAGTTGAGCTAGACCTCTCATTTGTACCACTTGTACTAGTTGAACTTAATTGAACTAAATTGAACTCCATTGAACTATACCTCTCATTTGTACCAGTTGAACTTAAGTTTTCAGTTGTTCCAGTTCGCTCTCAATAGTACCAATTGTACCAGTTGTACCAGTTGTACCATTTTTCCTATAAAAACTCCAGGAATTTCGAGCTCGAGTTTTGTTTACCGTTCTGCATATGAATCTGATTAACATAACAACATTCTTCTCACAAATTACCAAACCTATGACTTAATCTATCTAGAATATATTGTTACCAACCCATATCCCTAATTTTTCAAATCTAAAGCCCTAATTTTACAAAATATATCTCTAATTGAAAAAGAATAACTCACCTTCAAAACATGAGATCTTCAACAATGGCAGAAAGAGGACTGGAAATCTGGGTCGGACGAAGTGAAGAAAGAGTCGATCTAGGTCGGACAAAAAGAATGACGGGAGAAGAAGCTCACGGGAGGAGCTTGGAAACTAGATGAGAGCTCGGGTGAGAGGAGGGAGGAGAGGAGCTGCGGGAGAGCTCGATGATTCAATTTTTTTTAAAAAAATTTTAATTTTATTTACTTTTACTTATTTTACTTTTGCTAATTTATTTTTACTCGGTTAATTTCAGTTACTTTGACTAAGGACTAATTCAAAATATCACATCTCATTTAAATAATAGAGTGGCATTAGATTATATGATGGCAGCATAGATCAACTTTTTTGTAAAAGTGGCTTCTCAACTCTTCGCTCCAGAAATATACCTATTAAAATCGATTAAGAAATTGGTCAATTGGAAATTTAACTATTTTGACCCAAAAAACTAGAGGTGGACACATTTGTTTTCAACTTAGTTTTGGTTTGTTTTTTATTTTATTTTATAGTTTGTTGGTTTACTAGTATTATTCCCCGGTGCTATGCACCAAAAAATAAATCTCAGTTAATTGTACTTCCTCGAAAAAGTAGGTCTAGCGAAATAATAAAATCTAAAATAGACAAATTTAACTCACAAAGATTAAGATTTGAATTTGTTTTTAATATACAGATAGTACGTTACTCATAAATAAAAACGTGCTTGCAACCAGAAACATATTGAAACTGCCACCAAAATTAAGAGTTTTAATAAATGGTTAAAATTCTGGAGAGAACGAAAAGAGAAACATGAAATTCCAAAGCATACAGTCACTCACAATTAAACTCATATACTTTTCCATCTATTCAGTATTTTTCGAAAAAGCAACAGGTCAAGTTCTGCATTAATGCACTGTTAAATTCTTGAGTGTAAGTCAAAAAATCAAATTATCGAAGTAGATTAGATTTTCTAACAGCACATCAGCACATAACTTGTGAAAATGTTCTCAATTCGTATTTCATGATTATCAAAAACCTAATAACCATTCTTAAAAACTATGAATGAGTTTAATCCTCACAAAGATGAATACCACCAAAAAATATCAAGAAGAAACCAGAAAAAACACAGAATCAAATAACATATTACAAACACAATGGTAGTAACATAGAAAAAAGACACAGAAATGGGTCACCTATTTGAGATTGAAAACGTGCTATCTCTAATTTTTTTTATAGATTTACTTTGGATTAAACCATTCTGGGATATATTTATATTTATAACTTGAAGATTGTGAGTGGTGAAAGTGGGAAGTTGAAAGAATCGTGGGTAGGGATGAAAAAAATAAACCTGAGATCTTTTATTTTTGTTTTGGTATTTTAATTTAAAGAAAAAAGAATTTGACTAAAAATATAAAAGAAAAATTGATTATAAAAATATAAAAAACACATGTCAAACCCACAATTGACAACTCACTTGTATTTTATAACTACACTTATTTTGATTAGCTACACAATTTTAAATTATATAATTTATGAACATGTGTTCAACAACAACAAAAATGAATTCTAATAAAATTTTGAAACTACGGTTTAGTAAATTATATAATATGTATCGGTCTGTTTTGAAAATAACTCAACTTATTTTCTTAAATATAGGATTTCTTGTGAATAAAGCTATTTGAATTATGATGGTAGTTGTATTTTGGAAACAAACTGTAAGAAGAGAATGTCTAAGATGCAGCTATCTTTTATTCATTTTCCAAAGTAAGAATTTATTTATGCAATCCAAATGAACAAGCATAACTGACAATGAAATTTTGAAATCTGTATTGTTTAATTGTTGCTGATAATATGGAGCTTAGCTTTGTTACTTAATTTTTCCTTTTTAAATTGAGAATATTGGTGTTAAATGCAAAGTCTCTTTTTCGTGTTTCTCGTGTTTCTGTCTAAATAGCTACTAAAATAAAATTATGGTATTGGCTAAAGTTGAAAGATTGGAAAGAGTACATAAATCGTAACTCACATCTGGTTAGAGATAAACTTGTATACATAACAAAAGAGTGGGTTGAAAAAGAGTAAAGAACAATATATTTAAAGAAAAAGAGGAAAATTTCAAAAATAAGATAAATAATTAATTTAATGAAATTTTAATATGCAAAATATAAAAATATATAAGCAATATTTAACATTATAAGCCAAAAAACATATAGATTAAAATAATATTTATCTATTTTCATAGTTACCAAATTCAAAATTATATATTTCAAAACGCATTGAAAGCATATGTAGTATGTACTTGTGGAAAACAAATTACTGATAGCTACAATGACTGTGAAATACCTCTAAACATTTATATCTTACTTGATGGTTTTGTGCTTTCTTCAATTATAATTTTTTTCTTTTTTTGAGTTGTAGTATTTTAAACTGCCATTAAAGTAAATCACATTTTTGGTTATGCTGGGTTATACATATTATTTTATTTTTAATAATGTTAGAGATGAAATGCTTATCTGTGTTGAGTTAAAGATGAAATGTATCAAATTTTAATAATGTTAAAGATGATTTAATTTTATACATATTACTTTACTTCTTTTTTTTGTATATAGAATAAATACAAAAAAAAAATAGAATCATTGATCTCTATATAAAGAAAAATTGAAAAATAGAGAAGTAATTTCTTATACATATCCAGAAAGAAGAAGAGAGGAGAAGAGAATGAATGTAGAGAAAAATATGAAATAAAGAAATAGGATACTTTAATATATTAATAAGAATGCAAATGATGGACGAACTCGATCGTGATTTGGTTTTGATTTTCTCTGGATCTGGTTTTGCTTTTTGTTTCGTTTTCATTTCAGACACTTCAAACAAGAGAAACAGCACTCAATAACCGTATTGAGAGCGAATTTAATGAACTAACCATATGAAATACATGGTTAAGATATTTGCTGTGTAACATGTATTAATACCGAATATATCCATATACAGAAGAGAGATAATGGAACTTATTGTAGATTTCCTGACGCAGTCGATATTTTCGGAGCGGTTTTGGCACGTGCGAGTCGAAAAAAACCAGTTAATTTAATTTAGAGAGGGAATATTTCTAGAGAAGTTTTATTTTAAAACTTCTGTTTATTGGGTTTTATGTAAAGAAACTGAAGAGGCAAAGAGGCGAAAAGTGCGACCTAAAAGGTGATTCAGCGGTTGATCTGAAGAATCCTCATCTGCAATTTTTTTGTCACATTTGTTGTTTGATACACATACGGACTTCAGGTAACTACTATTTCTATACGATTCGGAACTTTCCGTCTGAAATAAGAGTTAGGGGATATATTTCAGATGGTACTGTTTATTGGATTTTAGGACGAACCCTAATCCAGTGGAATCCCCTTTCGATCTTACATCTGGGAAAATTAGTTTTTACATACTGTCTCTGTGATTAGCTTTTGGGTTTTCCGGTCGACCCTGCTCCTCGTAATCGTTAATGAAAGAGTTTATCCTCCAAAATTATATACATTTGTCGATTTTCTGTTCTAAACAGTTTGTCAAATGAGTCACCCATAATGTAGTTCATGTGTGTTCTATATATGGCATTGCTGTTTAGATTATGATAGTATTGACGCTGTGTGAAAGGCTGCATTAGTATAGTTTATTGCGTTGGTCCTTATATGTAGTATAACATTTGTAACTTTGCTATGTGAGTTATATAATAAAGTTATATGTTATTAGCTTTTGGGGAATTTTTGTTCTAAACAGTTTGTCGAGTGAGTCAGCCGTAATGTAGTTCGTGTGTGTTTCATATATGGCATTGTTGTTTAGGATATGAGTTGAATAGTATTGACGGGGTGTGATATGAGTTCATTAGTATAGTATACTGCTTTTGTCCGTCTACGTAGTATAACATTTGTAACTTTGCTATGTGAGTTGTATAATGAAGTTCTATGTGTGTAGGATGGACGAGCTTGGCTTGCTTGAGAGATAGTTTACAGCTGGCCATGAACCTAGTGGGCAAAAGCGTGTGAATAGCTATTTCACTCTACGGTGGATATAGACTATTAAAGCCACTCTTTGCCCTGACGAATTGCAATTATTGGTGTAGTCCCAATTCAACAAAGTGATGCAGATGGGGCACCACACATTCTCTGTCATGTTTGTCCACTACCTGCTCTCGCGTCAACTGGTGACAAAGAAGAAGTACGAACTCTGGTAGCTGTTTGCGGGGAAACCTATTCGGTATGTGTTGGCAGACTTTGCAATAGCGACTGGTTTGAATTGCCAGTCTACGGCTGAGAAGACAAAGAAGCGCAAGAGGAGGCATGAGTCCGGAAGGGAAGAAAAGAGGAAGGAGAAGTGTGTTGAGGTTGAAGGGAAAATGTGGACGGAGCTATTTGGAAATTTGAGGAAAGTGACACCTCCGGTGATGATGCAGAAGCTTCTTGCTGCTGGGAGGGTAAATGACGGTATAACGGAGCTTCGTCTTGGATTGCTTTTGCTTGTTAAGGGTATTATATGCCCTAAAAGTGGCTTAACCAACATCAGGCCTGAAGTAGTCGAAATGCTGGATGATGTTGAGGCATTTATGAAACATCCTTGGGGTCGGAAGTTGTTTACTCTGACAGTTAAGTGCACAAAGACGAGAACGGCTGAGAAGCTGGTCCAGGAGTCTACTGCTATTCAAGTGTTCTCGCATGCATTTGTCTTGGTGACTGCGTGTTGCTGCCCTGAGCTGTTGATAAAGCCGGGTTAGGTTGACCCTGTTATTAAAGACGATTCCCCGATTGAGGATGTGTTCAGTGCGTTGTTGAACAGAGTTTGTCAATCAACATTCAAACTGCTAGGAATATTGATCATCTAAGCCAGGTAATTAATGTATGCCATAGAATAATTTGTGTTTCCAGTTGGGATTGTTTTTAACAGTTTTTATATGAATTCCATTAGGCGAGAGTACGGTCGATCCTATGTGCAGAAGTGGATGCTGTTTTGGAGCACGTACCTTTTGAGGATGAAGCATCAGATGAACGTGTGGACCACCTGCTGGTGATGATCGAAGAGGACTTCCCATTTGAACACAACTAATGGCGTGGAGGTGTGACTGAGGATGAAGCGATAAACCCACCGGATAAGCATGGTGCAGAGACAGAGGGATCTGACAATGATTCTGTTGGAAGTGGAGAGACGACTCCTCCGGCACCTGATGCTTCTGGATATAGTAGGAGGCCATGGGATCGTGAGCATCAGTCCTGTACTATGCCATCTGGTGATCATATTATGAGACAGTTTTCGAAAGATGGTACCTTTGATTATGACTTGCTGTTTCGTAAGTTGGGTGATGCGTTTGAGGAGCAGGCCATTGCTATGTTTGAAGGATATGCTTGAGTATAAAAGGTCATTTTGACAGAGAATTTTCTAAATTGAAGGCTGCCATTAAGGGGTATATAAAGTCAAAGGTCGGTGTTAAAGCAGGCACTGCAGCAACAACAGCCGGCGAGCAAACAGTTTTTATGAATGCTGGACAGCCTGCAGGGAAAAGAAAAGGCCCCACTGCTTCTGCGCCAACTGATGGGAAAGATGATGGTAAGTGGTGATTGCCCCAAACATAGTATTGTTATTGTCGTTTACTAAAAAAATTATTTTTTTATGTAATTAAGGTAGGAAGCGGAGCAGAAGTGCCACTGACATTGGAGGGAATGTATGTCGTCGGTGTGATAATGCTGATATTAGATGTTTTTTATATTATGGTAAATGATTTTGCCGTTTATACTGGTTGCATCGAGAGTCTTATTATTCATATGATGGGTGTAGGGATCGACCCCTGATATTGAAACTGGAGAAGGGAGTGCTCGCGATACACGCTTTTCTGCTTCGGGACATAACCATCCAGGTCGCACTGAGGATGAAGAGGTTTGGCTATTTACCCATCTTTTGTGAATTAATGTTTCTATGTTATATTGAGTGTGTAGAATGTACGATTTTACATGGTATAGATTTGTTTGATTTCAGCTTTTAAATGGCACTCATTTAAGGTGTGTAATGTTTCGTCAGGGCCCACATTGTAGTAATACTAATGAAGAATTAGCCAATCTAGCAGCGGATCAAGTTGAAGAAGAGGAAGTACAAGCAGAGGGTGATGATCATGCAGGTGAGAGTGAACTTGACCGTCTGCCTCTCGCCCAGAGGTTTAGCCGGAGAAACAAGAATAAGACGCAAAAGTACACTCCTCCGATTAGTAAACCAAAATGAAAGAGAGGCGGGGTTGGTGTGAAAGAGGGCCCTGTTGCAAAGCCAGTGCCTTCTGAGTTGCGCAATACCGCCAATAGTCCTCCACCTACTAGTCCTTCTCTTATTGATGGATTCAGTCCATATACCCCTGCCAGTGACAAACGTATATCTTCATTTATGAAGTTAATCGCGGAGGAGAAGTAAGTATGTTACATGGTATTTTGAGCTGGCATTTTCAATAAATAACCATACTAATATACTTTCAAATGTAGAACGTATCCGGTAGAAGGTAGTATGAAAATCCTTACTAGTGTGTTCATGGAGATTTACGAATCCAGGACCCCTCTCTCTGTCATGGTAAGACTTGTTTCTTATTGGTCTGTACATTTGCCCATTTCTGTCATGATAATGACAGTCTATTTGAGTTGCAGGCTATGGATGTCCTTGTAAGGTTTGTGCAACTGCAGCGGGCCAGATTGGGGACTGTGGAATGGGATTTTATTTCCCTGCCTTTTATAGTCAGACTGATCGCCGAATATGAAACATTTGCGATGACATCGGAAAACTCTGAACCCGTCTTCTCTCCATATCTGGTGTCCTTACTCGGAAGCAATCCTAGATGGTGCACCACTGTATCTGCCTTGTACGTCTCTTTCCAGGTTGACGGTTCTCATTGGGTAGGGATTGTGTTGGATTTGAAGGCGTGGGCCATTTATGTGCTGGACTGCAACACCGCCTGTGTCACGGGCTCCGAATTAGAGGTTTGATTGCAGCCCATTTCCGAAATGATGCCACACTTTATTAGGAGGCACTGGGGTACTGATGTGGCACATCTAGTCCTCACTGCCCCCTTGCCTGTCAGCAGGATAGATTTGCAGTTTTTTTTCGAGATCACATGTATAATTATGACCCTTAAATATACACTTCAATATGGTTGATTGATGGCGGAACTAATATATCACTTTGTATGTTATTGTAGGGCTCAATGGTGTAACATTTATTTCCCTTCTAGAGCTACATGCACAAGGCCAACTTACTGAATGTCATAAACTCTCAGACGGGGCTCTCCATACTGCTGCATCGAACTACACCATTAAAGCATTTTCGTCCTTTCATCCTTCGCTTTTGACACAGCAATAGATGGATCTGGTCATTTATTGCACTTCACATTGATGTTGCTGTTTCACTCAAACATTGTGGTTGTTTTCTTGGATAATTTGAAGGCTTTTATTATCTTATGTATCAGATGTATTTTCTTTTGACTTGCACGTTTAAGGTTTATTTTGTTACCAACTCCTGGACGTTTAATGTAATGTTTTATATATGTCACTTTTCATACTATTGTGTTCACATAGTATTATTAAATTATTTAATACATATGTCCTCTTGTAGTATGAATATGCATGTGGATGGGGTTTTCGGGGCTTGGGTACACTAAGTGGTTAGGTTTAGTATCCAGATATGGGGGTTCCGATATACACTGGGTAATGCCTTACAAGACTTATGTATAATGAGTCTTGATTGGGTACCATTTCAAAAATTTAATTGATTAATATTCGAAGATAACTCTATATCATGCCTATATGTAGTATGGACATGGATGAGACTGAGGTTTACATGGACTTGGTTACACTAGGTCGTGGCTTGAGTTAAGTTTCCAGAAAATTGGAGTTCAGGCTTACATTGGGTACTGCCTTCGAAGACTTATTTATAATGAGGGTTGATTGGGTACCATTTTAAATTTTCTCATTGATTCCAGTTATAAAATTTTTCTATACCAATGACTCTCTGTAGTATACACATGGGGAGGGGGGGGGGATGAGGTTTACACGGGCTTCGGTACAGTAGGTCGTGGCTTGGGTTTAGTTTCCAAATATTGGGAGTACAGAATTACACTGGGTACTGCCTTACCAGACTTATGTATAATGATGGTTGCTTGGATACCATTTTAAAATTTTCATTGATTTCAGTTTTAGTAGGTTCTATACCAATGACTCCATGTAGAATATATATGGATGGGGATGAGGTTTACATGGGCTTAGGCACACTAGGTCGTGGCTTGGGTTTAGTTTCCAAATATTGGGAGTTCAGAATTACACTGGGTACTGCCTTAGCAGACTTCTGTATAATGAGGGTTGATTGGGTACCATTTTAAATTTCTCACTAATTCAGTTATAAAAGGGTTCTGTACCATTGCGTCCATGTAGTATGTACAATGGTCGGGATGAAGTTTACATGGGCTTGGGTACACTAGGTCGTGGCTTGGGTTTAGTTTCCAAAAATTGGGAGTTCAGAATTACACTAGGTACTGCCTTACAAGACTTATTTATAATGAGGGTTGATTGGGTACCAATTTAAATTTCTCATTGATTTCAATTATAGAATGGTTCTATACCAATGACTCTATGTAGTATACACATGGGGGGATGAGGTTTACATGGGCTTGGATACAGTAGGTCGTGGCTTGGGTTTAGTTTCCAAATATTGGGAGTTCAGAATCACACTGGGTACTGTCTTAGCAGACTTATGTATAATGAGGGTTGATTGGATACCATTTTAAATTTCTCATTGATTTTAATAATATCTCGGTTCTATACCAATGCCTCCATGTAGTATATACATGGATGGGGATGAGGTTTACATTGGTTTGGGTACACTATGTCGTGGCTTGAGTTTAGGTTCAAAATATTGGTAGTTCGGGTACTGTCTTGCAAGACTCATGTCTAAAGAGGGTTGATTGGGTACCATTCTTAAGTTCTTATTGTTTTCAATTTTAAATTTGTTCTATACAGTTGCATTTATATAGTATGGATATGTATTGACTGAAGCAGGTTGTCGTATACGGTATAGTAAGTACTGGGTTTTGTTTAGTTTCAAGTATAGCGTGGGGATACTTGGTGGATTCAATCGGACAGCTGCTTCAGCGAAACATATAAACATAAGGAGGGCGTCTCATTAATATTCAACAAATGGAAGGTCAGATGGGCTTTGACTATGTACATGACCAGCTGTTCCGTATTTACAAGAGTAACCAAATTTTGAAGAGTGTCAGAGGGCTAAAATAACATGGTATAGTACATTTCCTGTATATACCAGTTTAGTTAGTCTTCACTATGAAAGAAAAAAAACTAGCTGTTTATCATTACTTAAGACCCGCGTCGGGTTCTTCATTATTTGCCCAGCTCCCTTAAAAACCAGCATATGGAACCTCCTATATATGCCCTCTACTCCGCTTATAGTACTTGCTACTTAGCTAAGTTCCCACAAAAAACTGCATCAGGAACCTTCTTGCCCTTCCCTCCACTTCACGTTATCTTATATAGCATAGCGATAAGATGCCTTGTTGTAGCCTTGACGACGACAACGAGTGCACCTACGCCTGCTGAGTTTCACCTTCTGCACCGAGTAACCATTCAGAATAATATGTATAGTATATATGTTATATATAATAAATAGTATCGAACATGTGGAAGTGAAAGTCAGGAAATCACGCACCTTGAACTCCCCCCTTGATGGTATTCTGACCTTCTTTGGTTTTCCTGGTGGTCGACGAACATCTGGTGGCATTAGTTCTCCACTGAAGGGACCTACTATGCAAACATTGCCCACAGATGGTACTGGGTAAATCCTTCCCTCGAAACCATGTTTCCATGTATCAACATAGTATGCTGAAGCAACAAGAGCATCTATTGGCATATCTATATTATTTGCCGTAACTAAAGCATGTGGACAAGGGATCCCAACAGACTAGAACTCCATGCATGAACAACCCCCTCGACCAGGTTGACAAAATAACATTCTCCCTCCGCTGCATGCATTTGAAACTCATAAGCACTTATAGCCCTCACTGCAAAGGC